GGGCTGCTCGTGGTCCCCAAACTCAGATCCAGCCGAGAATTCCCTAAAAAAAATTCTCATCCGTGAGGAAGGAGCTCCTCGAGGAAAATTTGTTTTCCTCAATATTCCCACAGTTTCCATGGGGGAAAACCATTAAGAAGGAGGATTAAAAATGCAAAGGCAAAACCATAAATGAATTAAGGCGGACTCTGAACCTCCTCGTTCATCTGTGGGGAGCGAAAAGGCGGTGGGTGACGAAACAGGACCCCGGCTGCAATTCCCACTGGGATCATTTTCCCATTATTTACTGCGCTTTTCGTTGGGCAATCAAACTGAGACAGTAATTAAGAGATGATTGAAAAGCAGCTTTTTTTTTTTTTTTTTTTTTTAATCTCACATGAAGCAATTTCCTGTCTTTCTTGTAACTCTCGGGAACTTCAGACTCACCCGAGCTGGGCAGGGACCCTCTTCCTTCATCCCACTGATCCCAATCCTATTTCTTGCCCCGGAACCAGCTCTGGCAGCGGGAAAGGCAGCGCTCCACGATGCTGGAAGTGCAGGAGTTGAGGCGGAACGGGCTCCGTGGGGACGTTTGGGATTTGCTGTCCTTGGCGTCTCCGGCGTCCCCAAGTCCCTGGGATTGGGACGCGCAGGGATCCGTGGAAATCTCACTTTGGGATGCACAGGGATCCGCGGAAATCCCGCTTAGGGATGCACAGGGATCCCCCAGGATTGTTCCCTGGGCCTGGCAGGGCTCGTCCGCACCCAAATCCAGCACCTCGAGCATGCAGGGCTCCACCACCGGGAGCTCCTGGCGGAGATTTTCCAGGTTGTCCAGGCAGGTCCCGGCGGTTTTGGGGACTCCGAGCTCCTCCTGGGGCAGCGGGAAGGTCCCGGCGGTGTCAGGGGGACACAGCTCCACGGTCAGGATGGATTTCTGCAGCGGGAACCTCATCACGCACATCCCGGGGGTCTCGAAGGTGAAGGGCTCCTCTGCCGAGCTCGGGATTTTCGCGGGATCCGCGCAGGGCCCGGAGTCCGCGGGGAGGGATGGGGAGGCGACCCCGAGGGGGACCTGGGGGGCGTCACAGGGACAGGAGGGACAAACGTCCTGGCACGGGCAGGGATCCACCTGGGAATTCTGCTCCGGGGCCACCACGGCGCAGGGATTGCTCTGGGCAGCCTCTTCCGGGCAGGAACACGGCGGGCACTGGGAATTCATCTCCCTGCGACGGAGAGCTGCAAGAGAAAGGAACAATTTCACACCCAATCCCACGAAAAATCAGGGGAAAATTCTTCATTTTTTCTGCTTTTCTCTTCAAACTCCCAAAATCAGCTTTTCTCATTAAAATCTGCTCTCAGCCAAACAATTCCAACAATTTGCCAGCTTTCGTTTTGGGACAACAAAGTATTTGGTTCACGTTTTCAGGTTCATAAATTCAAGTGACTCCCTTCCCTTCTCCAGTTGTTTTTCACTTTTCCAGTTGTTTGGAATGGATCCTGGATGACCTGGCAGGATGGGGTTTAATCCCACTAAACCCAGTGCTGGAATAACAGGAATTTTCCAGAACATCCCTGGAAATTCCAGAATTACAGCCAAGCCAGCACGGGGAAAGGATTTAACCGTCTGAAACCTTTATCCCCAAGGAAACTGAGCTCCATAAATCCCAATTTTTCAGCTGTCCAGGGAATCTATTCTGGAAAACAACCACCAGGATCAGCAGGATCCCAAGGAGACTCACCAGGTTGGGATCAGCAGGGCAGAGGCGGCCGCGTTATCCCGGGATGTTCCTGGTGTGATCCCGGGCCTCCGGAGCCACGGAGCCCCAGGCACCCGGAGCTCCTCACGGCCTCGCTCCGCCTCTGCCCCGCCAGGGATGATTTGCCTAATTATTTTTAATGGAAAACGCCTATTTCCGTGGCTGGAGCTGGACCTGGAGCTCGGGAATTCACATGGCCCCGCAGACGCCAGGGAGGAATTTGGGAAATGAATGGATTCCCAGCCGGCTCTCCAATAATCACCCAGTGACAGGGCAGGTTTTTGGGATGCTCCAACGTCCTCCAGCCCAACACCTCGTGAGGTCCATTAGGGGCAGGATGGGATGTGGGATTTGGGGGATTCTTTTATTTTTAGCCATGTCTGACCTTTTTCTGTCCTGTTTTTCCACGGAGCTGCTGGAAACTCTTTGCTCACCGCTCGTCTCGTGATGTTTTCCATCTGCTCCCGAAGTTCTGACTCAAATTCCATCTCCGTTGTCATGACGGTGGCGTTGTTGTCGTGCGGGACGAGCAGACAGGTGACTGGAGGAGTGACCACCACCCTTTTCCCTTCATTTTACCCCAAACCCGCTGAATTCCACCCAGCTGGAAATCCATAAACCCAAAAACGTGAAAAAAATCTGTTCCCTTCCCTCCAAAAAAAAATTGGAAAATCATTGAAATTGTTCAGCTGAGAACAGATTTGAGCAAGAAATGCTCCTTTTGGGGAGTTCGAACAGAAAACCAAAAAAAGGAGGAAATTTTTCTTGCAGTCAGCAGCAAACTCCCAACCCAAGGGGTCATTAATCCCAGATTTATTTATTTCCAGGAAATAACAAAAAAAACCCCAAAACCCACACTGGACACCCAAATTAGGAGAGAGAAGAGGCAAAACCCCCCTTGGTCTCCTGGTGGAAAACGGCCTCGCCTCTGGTGCGAGTCACTCCTGTCCCTGGTTGTGTCACCGGGTGACTTCGGGAGGAATTCCAGAGCCTTTGATGTCTCAGGGGAGCTGGTTGGGTCTCTCTTCCTTCTTTTCCAGGCAGGAACGACTTTTCCGCGGGGAGAAAGCGGCAGCTCCGAGCTGTGATGGCTGCGTGAAGTTTGTCACCTTTTTGGGCTGGGTGTGACCTCCTGGCACCAAAAACAGGCACAAAAATCGGCCCAAAGGCCACTGAGATCAGAGAGTTCATCCCTCATCGCCCTGGGTGTCACCTGGTGGAGCTGGGACACGCGGGAGAGGTCCTGGAAGATCCTGGAGATCCTGGAAATGTGAAGATTTCCCTGGAGGAAATCACAAAAAGGGTCAAAATTCCAACAAATCAAACAAATCAGATTTGTATTAAAAAGAAAATCAAAGAATTGTGGCAAAAATGACCAGTGGGACCAGGGCAGGATTGTCCCCTGGGGTGGGCACTGGAGAGGGGAATGTCCAGTGCTGTGTCCAGTTCTGGACAATCATGGAAAGAGGGATGGGAACGGGGCTGGAGCCTGTCCAGGGATGGGAACGGAGCTGGAAAATCCTGAGGGAGCTGAGGGAGCTCAGCCTGGAGAAAAGGGGGATCCAGGGGGAATTTGGGATCTGCCAGGGGGGATTTGGGATCTGATCCCCAAATGGGGAGTGGGGACAAGACAAGAGGGAACGGCCTCGAGCTGTGCCAGGGGAGGCTCAGGGTGGGAAATTTGGGGAAATTCCTCCTGGAAAAGGGAAAAGGCCTTGGAAGGGGCTCAAGGAGGGTTGGATCCCCACCCCTGGAGGTGTCCAGGGAATTCCTGGACCACATCTGGAGCTGTGTCTGGTTTGGCTCCCACAGCTCAAGACCAACCAAGGCCACCCAGATGTTCCAGGGACCTCGAGGAAAAGGTGGACTGGGAGACGCTGAAGGATTTGCCCACCCTGGAAAGAACTTGGGGATAATCCTGGGGTCTCTTTGAGCCATCCAAAATATTCGTGGAGAGGCTCTTCCAACTGAGGGATAGAGGGAAAACTGTCCAGTTTTATCAGAAATAAAATTCCCAGCAGAAGGAATATTGTGAGAGAGCCAAGCTCCTTCCAGAGTCCCATCCCACCTCCATTCCCCAAATGCACCAAAACAGCTTTTTTTTTCAGAGTTCAGTCCTGAGGGGGATTGTTTCCAGGCTGCCTCATCCGCATTTCCCAGTCCGTAGGAAATACGTGGATGGGGAATTCCTCGCAGTCATAAGAGTCTCATGTCCCACCTCGGCGACATTAAAAATTATAACGTCGAGCGAAGTAATTGAAGGATTGGAGCAGAGCAGGTCTGGATTATTAAATATTTTATTTCCATACCCCTGAGGTGTCTCACTTCCGGAGCCACGGACACCAAAATCCTATAAAAGGATTCCTATTGTCCTGTTCCTCAAGCCATTTTTGGTTTCATTTGGTGCTCGCTGGTGGAGAATTGGGTAAGTCCAGCTCGGTTTCCTGGGAAGTCACCTCGTGGTTGGGGCTTTTTTTTTTTTTTCATTTTGGAGCCGTGCAGAAGCAAATTAAAAGACTTAAAAGTGTTTCTGCTTGGGGATATTGGGGTTGGGATTCCCGCAGATTTTAATTCCGTCTTCTCCGGGGTTTATTTGCTGCGGGTTTTGCTCTTTCTCCATCGAGGAGGACCAAGTTCTCTCTCTCTCCTCACCGACTTTGCTGCCGTGCTTCACCCAGGGAATTGTTGGCGTTGGGAGAGATCAAAAGGCCAGGCTGGGACTTCAAAGGGGAGGAGTGGGAGGGGTGATAAGGAGTGGAGACTCTCAGGCTGCCAGGGAAGGCCGTGCCTGGGAGGAAAAATAGGGGTGGGAAGAGCCAGGCAGATTTTGTGGGAAAAGCAGCCGCAGCAGAGCCTTTCCTTGGGGAGATTTTCCCACATGGAGCCGCCACTGGTGTCCTCTGGATGAGGGCAGGGCGATCTGAAGCATTTTTGGATGAAATCAGGAAAGGAATGGGAAAGATTCATCCCGAACCAAGGGGAGGTGTGGGCAGGTGGAGGCTTCAGACCTCCCAGAAAACCTAAAGGGGCCCAAATAATTTTTGCTTCCTGTTTTGAGAGGAAGTTGCTTGAAAATAGCTACAAATTTGTCTAAAACGCTTTCATGTGGAGTCACTTCCTCGCCTCATGGCAGTTTTCCCAGTTCAGGATTCCGTGGAAAAAAGGATGATTTAATTCTGTGTATAGAACAGCCTGGAATGTTTCACACCTTTTACATTTTATCCCTTTCCTGCTTCCAGCCTCCCCCCCTTCCCCCCAAAAATGCGTCGCGCGACCGGCTGCCCGCTGAGCCAGATCTGCATCCCCCCTCCCGCCGTCCTGGTGAGGAGCTTCCCGGTGAGGTCCAGCCCGGATCCCTGCGGCACCGCCGGCGGCTTCCAGTGCTTCCCTCCCCGCAGGAGCCCCTGCTGCTTCCCCGGCACCACCACCTACGTCAGCCTGGGGAGCCTGGCCGCGGCCCAGGCCGCCGGCTGCGCCAAGCCCTGCGGCCTCGTGGCCACCACGTGTGTCCCCCCGTGCTACCAGGGCATGGCCGGGTGCACCACCACGTGCAGGAACCCCTGCTGCTGCTGCCGGGTGACCGAGAGCTGCACCAGGAGCCAGGACTGCTGCCAGGAGGTGGCCAAGTGCTCCACAGCCACGTGCCAGGATCCGTGTTGCCAGGAGGTCACCAAGTGCACAACCACGTGTCAGGATCCGTGTTGCCAGGAGGTCACCAAGTGTGTCACCACGTGCCAGGATCCGTGTTGTCAGGAGGTCACCAAGTGTGTCACCACGTGCCAAGATCCCTGCTGCCAGGAGGTGTCCAAGTGCACACCCACATGCCAAGATCCGTGTTGCAAGGAAGTGACCAAGTGCACCACCACGTGTGTGGATCCGTGTTGTCAGGAGGTCACCAAGTGTGTCACCACGTGCCAGGATCCCTGCTATAAGGAAGTGACCAAGTGTGTCACCACGTGCCAGGATCCCTGCTGCAAGGAGGTCACCACATGCACCACAACGTGCCAGGATCCCTGTTGTAAGGAGGTCACCAAGTGCAGAACCAGGTGTGTGGATCCATGCTGCCAGGAGGTCACCAAGTGTGTCACCACGTGTCAGGATCCGTGTTCTCAAGAGGTCACCAAGTGTGTCACCACGTGTCAGGATCCATGTTGTCAAGAGGTCACCAAGTGTGTCACCACATGCCAGGATCCCTGTTGTAAGCAGGTCACTGCATGCACCACCACGTGTGTGGATCCGTGTTGTCAGGAGGCCACCAAGTGTGTCACCACATGCCAAGATCCCTGCTGCCAGGAGGTGTCCAAGTGCACACCCACATGCCAAGATCCGTGTTGCAAGGAAGTGACCACGTGTGCCACGTGTGTGGACCCGTGTTGTCAGGAGGTCTCCAAGTGTGTCACCAGGTGTGTGGACCCGTGTTGTCAGGAGGTGACCAGGTGTGTCACCACGTGTGTGGACCCGTGTGGCAAGAAAGCCCCCCGGGGCCTCACGCCGTGTTACGATCCCTGCTGCAAGAAGGTGACCAAGTGGAGCAGCCCGTGGGTGATTCCGTGGTGCAAGAAAGGCTCCAAGTCCAGCACCAGATGTGGAGATCCCTGTTCCAAGAAGGGGAGCAAGTGCAGCTCCAGATGTGTGGATCCGTGCTACAAGAAGGTGCCCAAGTGCTCCACCCCGTGCCAAGATCCGTGCTGTGTGACCAGGTGTGACCCCAGGTGTGTGGATCCTTGCTGCCAGGAGGTCTCCAAGTGCAGAACCAGATGTGTGGATCCTTGCTGCCAGGAGGTCACCAAGTGTGTCACCACGTGTCAGGATCCGTGTTCTCAAGAGGTCACCAAGTGTGTCACCACGTGTCAGGATCCATGTTGTCAAGAGGTCACCAAGTGTGTCACCACATGCCAGGATCCCTGTTGTAAGCAGGTCACTGCATGCACCACCACGTGTGTGGATCCGTGTTGTCAGGAGGCCACCAAGTGTGTCACCACATGCCAAGATCCCTGCTGCCAGGAGGTGTCCAAGTGCACACCCACATGCCAAGATCCGTGTTGCAAGGAAGTGACCACGTGTGCCACGTGTGTGGACCCGTGTTGTCAGGAGGTCTCCAAGTGTGTCACCAGGTGTGTGGACCCGTGTTGTCAGGAGGTGACCAGGTGTGTCACCACGTGTGTGGACCCGTGTGGCAAGAAAGCCCCCCGGGGCCTCACGCCGTGTTACGATCCCTGCTGCAAGAAGGTGACCAAGTGGAGCAGCCCGTGGGTGATTCCGTGGTGCAAGAAAGGCTCCAAGTCCAGCACCAGAAGTGGAGATCCCTGTTCCAAGAAGGGGAGCAAGTGCAGCTCCAGATGTGTGGATCCGTGCTACAAGAAGGTGCCCAAGTGCTCCACCCCGTGCCAAGATCCGTGCTGTGTGACCAGGTGTGACCCCAGGTGTGTGGATCCTTGCTGCCAGGAGGTCCCCAAGTGCAGAACCAGTTGTGTTGACCCGTGTTGTCAGGAGGTCACCAAGCGTGTCACCACGTGCCAAGATCCCTGCTGCCAGGAGGTCTCCAAGTGCAGAACCAGTTGTGTTGACCCGTGTTGTCAGGAGGTCACCAAGCGTGTCACCACGTGCCAAGATCCCTGCTGCCAGGAGGTCTCCAAGTGCAGAACCAGATGTGTTGATCCATGTTGTCAGGAGATCACCAAGTGCATCACCACATGCCAAGATCCCTGTGGCAAGGAGGTCACCAAGTGCAGAACCAGATGTGTGGATCCATGTTGTCAGGAGGTCACCAAGCGTGTCACCACGTGCCAGGATCCCCGCTGTGTGACCAGATGTGCCACCAGGTGTGTGGATCCATGTTGCCAGGAGGTCACCAAGTGCACCACCAGATGTGTTGATCCCTGCTGCCAGGGAGTGACCTCTTGTGCCACCAGGTGTGTGGATCCGTGTTGCCAGGGGGTGGCCAGGTGTGTCACCACGTGCCAAGATCCCTGTTGTGTCACCAGATGTGCCACCAGGTGTGTGGACCCCTGCTGTCAGGGAGTGACCACCTGCACCACCACCTGCCAAGACCCCTGCTGCCAGGGAGTGCCCACCTGCCAAGACCCCTGCTGCCAGGGAGTGCCCACCTGCCAAGACCCCTGCTGCCAGGGAGTGCCCACCTGCCAAGACCCCTGCTGCCAGGGAGTGCCCACCTGCCAAGACCCCTGCTGCCAGGGAGTGCCCACCTGCCAAGACCCCTGCTGCCAGGGAGTGCCCACCTGCCAAGACCCCTGCTGCCAGGGAGTGCCCACCTGCCAAGACCCCTGCTGCCAGGGAGTGCCCACCTGCCAAGACCCCTGCTGCCAGGGAGTGCCCACCTGCCAAGACCCCTGCTGCCAGGGAGTGCCCACCTGCCAAGACCCCTGCTGCCAGGGAGTGCCCACCTGCCAAGACCCCTGCTGCCAGGGAGTGCCCACCTGCCAAGACCCCTGCTGCCAGGGAGTGCCCACCTGCCAAGACCCCTGCTGCCAGGGAGTGCCCACCTGCCAAGACCCCTGCTGCCAGGGAGTGCCCACCTGCCAAGACCCCTGCTGCCAGGGAGTGCCCACCTGCCAAGACCCCTGCTGCCAGGGAGTGACCACCTGCCAAAACCCCTGTGGTCAGGGAGTGACCACCTGCCAAGACCCTTGTGGCCAAGGAGTGACCACCTGCCCCACCACGTGCCCAGCCCCGTGCTGTGTCCCCAGCTGTCCCACTCCGTGTGCGGATCCCTGCTGTGCCACCCCGCAGTGCCGCGGGGGTGTCCAGGTTGTCACCAGGTGCGCCGACTCCTGTCCCACCACCTGTGTCACCCAGACCTGCCCCGTGTGCGGCCAGCGCTGCTCCGTCTCGGGCTGCCCGAAATTCCGGGCTCGCTGAGGGACTCTGGGGTGGGATCCGAAGGAGACCCCGCTCCCCGTGGGGGTTTCCCTGTGGAATCTCCAGAGGAAGAGTAAATCCTCATTTTCCTCGCGTTTTGCCCCGTTCCTGATGTTTTTCACCTCAAGAAAGCGCCGTTCCTCACGGGATGTCACCGAGCGATTTTGTGCCCCCGGGATTGTTCCCCGGGAGAAAGAATCCGCAGTTCCCCCTCGCACCGGGAGTGCGATGGAGGAATTCCCCTCTTTGTTCTTCCTGATCTTTTTCCTTTCCGTGTTCTGAAGCAATAAAAGAAACGATCTTGGCACCGGCCTCCCGCATTTCCTTCACTTCCTTTTAATTCCTTTCCTAAAATCCCAATTTTTTTTGTAATAAAAAATGCTTGGGAAGGTCTCACTGGGATTGTGGAATGCCCTGAGATGGAAGAGGCACACAGGGATCATCAAATCCAACCCCTGGCCCTGCCCAGGACATGCCAAAATCCCACTGTGTCCCCGGGAGCGTTGTCCTGGAGCTCTGGTGGGTTTGGGATGGTGACCATTCCTTGGTGAGCCTGGTGAGCGCTCCCACACTCTGGTGGGAAGAACCTTTTCCCAAAATCCACTCCAGTTCCCACCCCCTGGCACATCTCCTGCCCTTCCCTCAGTCCTGACATCCCTGATATCCCAGATTGATGTGTAAAATCCCAAATCAGTGTCTGAAATCCCAAATCAGTGTCTGAAATCCCAGATCAATGAGTGAAATCCCAGATCAAGTCTGAAATCCCAGATCAATGTGTGATATCCCAGACCAACATCTGAAATCCCTGCTCAGGTGGGATTTCCAGGCTGGAAAAACACCTGGAAACCCCAAAAAAAGAGGAATTTCCCAAGCGCTCCTCCATCACTCCCATCGCTCGATCCCAAACCCCCAAACGGGGCTCGGGACCGTCCTGGGAGGCTCCCGAGGTTGAGCTCGGCTGGGAGCCGGGCCCGGGCAGGGTTTGGCGGAGCAAATCCCGCTCGGAATGCGGGCGGGCGGAGCGGGGGCGGCGGCAGACGGGGTGCGACCGTCTGGGAGCCGCCACCGGCTCCTCCGAAGATGCCCCAAGGCCCGGGGTTGGTGACAACCTGCGAGCTCTGCCCTCAGAGCTCCTCTGATCCCAGCGGGCAGGGGCACAAATCCTCCCCGTGGCGTTCCGTTGGGCTCCAAAACGCCCCCAAAATTCCTTAAAATTCTGTGCGAGCAGCAATGTTCTTTGCTCCTGCTCCCCAATCCCTCGGTTTTCTGGGAAATAAAATGTAGTCGGGAGAAAAAAGTGGCTTTTGGATTAATTTTTGCCTTCTGGCGTGGTGCTGGCAGGGTCTTTAATCCTTCACGTGTCCATAAAATTCAGATTTAAATCATGTCGGAGCAGCAGAAAGCAGAAAAATCATTTCCAGGAAAAAAAAAAAACCCAAAAAAACCAAACAGGAATTCCTCCTGCGTGACCACCTGGATGTTTATTCCACACCTGTGAAATTAAAACAGGCAGAAAACTGCTGCTCACTACAAGGAAATGTAGAATCCCCCAGTTCCTCTGTCAGGTGAGCTTTAAAATGTCCTTGGAGATCAAAACACTTTTATCCACTAAAGTAAAAAAAAATCCAGAGGAAATCCAGGGATTTTTCCTGAAAACAAAAAAAGAGAAAATCAAAGCAAAGAAGGCAAAGAGATAAAAGAGGTGAGGATTTTTTTTTTTCCCCATAACCACAACCAGTTCCTCCTTCCCAGATTTAATTACTCAGGTGCTAATTGTCATTCTTCCCTGAGCACTCACCTTCCGGAGTAAACAGGAAAAGAGGCCGGAATGGTGGGATTTGGGTTCCTGTCATGGCTGGGTCCAACTTGTCCCTCAGGCATGGACTGAAGGAGCCACTCAGGTCCATGTGAGGCTTAATGTCCTCTCCTCTCATCCTCCTGGCATCCCAAAAATTCCAGGGTTCCCAGAGCCACCTGGACACTGCCCGGGGAGCTGGGTCAGACCCTCCCACCTTGCCCAGGTCCTTGTGGGAATGAGGAAAGGGGAAAGTTGGGTCTGATGGAGGCCCAGGAGGGTTAATTGCAACCAGGTGTGTTTAATTGTGCCCAGGTTTGGGCAGGAAAATGGGGAGAATCCCTGATTTCGGTGAGAGTCGATCGAAACGCACAGGAAAAAATTCCTTTTATTGCTCGGGAAGATGGGAATCCTGCATGGGGATGGAGGGGTTGGACCTCGACCCCGTGTCCAGGTCTGGACAACCATGGAAAAAGGGACATGGAGGGGCTGTAGCCTGTCCAGGGGTGGGAACGGGCCTTGGGAAGGGCCTGGAAAATCCTGAGGGAGCTGGGGGGGCTCAGCCTGGAGAAAAGGGGGATCCAGGGGGAATTCTGTGCTCTTCCAGGCGGGATTTGGGATCTGATCTCCTGGAAGGGAACAGGACAAGAGAGAATGGACTTGAGCTGTGCCAGGAGAGGCTCAGGGTGGGAAATTTGGGAAAATTCCTCATGGAAAGAGTGGGCAGGCCTTGGAAGGAGGTCAAGGAGGGTTGGAGTGGCCACCCCTGGAGGTGTCCAAGGAATTCCTGGAGATTCCTCGGGATGACCAACAGGGGATCGGACACAGCTTGGACTCAATGTTCTGAGAGATCTTTCCCAACCTCCGGGATTTTGGGACCCTGGAAAATCTTTGGCCCTTCAGCACAAGACCCTTGGAGCCAGGGGTGCTGCCCTTGTGGAATTCCCTCTTGGAATTCCCTCTGGAATGCCCGGCCCGCTGCAGAGGAGTCACCGGAGCCACCGAAGGACGTCGCTGTGGGGTCCTGACTCACCGACACCAGCGTGACAACTCCAAAGACTCCAATTGCCCATAAACGTAATGGAGATTCCCAAATAAGTGCCAATTAGGGATAACGATCCAGCCCCGTGACGTTCCCACGTGTCGGAGTGCGGATCCCTTTACGTCTCTCGAAATAATCCACTTTTGGAAGGCCCCAATTTCTCGCTAATCAAAGTTAACAACAGGGTGTAAAACAACTCAGGGTAGAAAGGGAGGTGCAGGACCGGTCCTCAGAGATGGTTTTGAGGTGAGCCTGGAGCCCGAGGAGATAATGAGGAGCTGTTCCAACCGGAATATGGGATATTCCTCTGGAAGATAAGAGTTGGAAGCTGCTCTGGGGGAAAATTTCCACACCCGGCAGCTCGAGGAGTAGAAAATGAGGGGGGATTAATCTGCCTAAAAATTCAGCTCCCAAATCCGAGCTCTGCTGGGTGCAGCTTCTCCTCCCGTGACAAAGGAGGTGTTTAAGATGAGCAAATCACGCCGTGCCCGTCCCAGTTTATCCCCGGAAAAGCCTCCGGGGCAGCGGAGCCTCCAGGGAAGGGGAGAAGCTGCACGTGGGGAGCTGAGTCTGTGGAAAAGCTGAGCCACCCGTGAGGTGGCAAAAAGCCCCGTGGAGATCCGTCAGCTCCGGGTGGAATTCCAGTACAAGCACTGGGAAGGAACTGGTGCTGATGCCTGGAATTCTCCGGGAGACTCCGGGTTTGGGGCATAAACAGGACGTGCTGCTCGTGCTGGGTTGGTTTATTTTGGGGTGGTTTTTATCCCTATTTAGAATTTTTGCGATGGTCACGTTCCTGTCTCCATGACTGGAATATCTGGAATAAACATGGATTTTCCATAATCAGCAAAACTTTAATAAAAATTGTGTCCTGGGCCTAAATCCCACTTAAACTGGAGCCTTTTGTACTTTTCTGTGAGAGAAAAACATCTTTAAAATGAGGATTATTCTGCCTTGAACAGGTTGAAGTATTCCTCAAAAAACCTGGAGTTGTGTCCCCACTGGAACTTCCAAACATGGATGGTGTTAATTCATGGAGAGGAATGGGTTGGGTGAATGAAATAATTTAAGTTATCAGGAAAACAGGGACCTCAAGGTTTTGTGGGAGTGCTGGAGGATTGGTTGTGCCTTTCCATGAGAATTAGGACATGGTATTTCTCATAGTAAATCCAATTAATTATCCATCTTCCCTAATAACAGCCATTCCCACGTTGGAAAAACTCCAGGTATCAAAACCCAACATTTATGGAAATAAGGCCACGGAAACGTCCCAGCGCATTAAATCCCTTTCTGAAAACCAATTAATTCAGCACCTGCTGTTTTTTTTTTTTTAATGACTCCGCCATTCCCGTTGGGAACCGCATGACCGGGATCGGAGCTCGGCTGGCTCAGCATCACCTGCTTTCCTGGAAGAGGGCTTCCACCAAAAATTAGGATGCAAACAAACATGCAAAGCATGTGGAGGTGGAGCCTGCCGGGGCAGTTTGTGGTCATCTGTCCATCCCCCTGGGCTCCCGCGTTTCCGGAGCTGACGCCACTCCGGCCATATAAAAGGTTTGGATTCGGAGGCTCCCGCCAGTTCCTTTGGCTTCTCCGTCGCTCGCCAGGACCGGTGACCCGGTAAGTCCTCCTTGGCTTTATCAGGGAATTTTTATCAGGATATCTCGTGGAAAAGAGAGTTCACTCCTGGTCCCAGGAGAGCTTCGCTCCTGTGCTTCTCTTCTGGGATTTGTCCTGGAATTGGGAACTTTGTTTAGGGTTTGCTCTGCCTGGAGGAGCTTGGAGAAGTCACCTGCTCCAGAACTGTGGCTGCTTCTCCTCCTTCCTCCTGTTCCATCCTGGTTAATTTGTTCCTGCCTCATTAAGGCTGGGAATTAAATAAATTAATGGATGCTGTGGAGCAGCTCCTGGGACTTCAAACGGGATGGGTGGGAAGAGGCTCTATCTGGAAGGAGGGAGCTGCAGGATTCCTGCAGGCAAAGCCGGGGGAGATCTCTGGGAGAAGCCAAGAAGAGGAAATGAGCTGGAAATGGGAGCTGCAGCCTCTGGGCCAACCCTTCCCTCACGGAAGGATGGGCCCCATTAATGCCCCAAAAAAATTCCAGTGACGTCCCAGGATCTGGAGGATCATCAGGATGGGAGAGCTGGGAATGTTCAGCCTCTGGAGAACTCGGAGCGTTTTCCAGGATCTGCAGGGGCTCCAGGGAAGCTGGAGAGGGACTTTTCCTCAGGAACTGCAGGGACAGGACACAGAGAATGGTTTTACATTGAAATATGGGAAATTTAGGTTGGATATTGGGAAGAAACTGTGAAGGTGGTGAGGCCCTGGCCTGGGTTATTCCATGGATTCCTCATCCCTGGAAGTGTCCAAGGCCAGGTTGGACAGGTCTTGCAGCAACTTGGTCTGGGTTGGAACGAGATGATCTTTGAGATTCCTCCCAGCCCAAATCATCCCATGATTCCATGGGATAATGGCGGGATTTGTGGCCTCTGGGCTTTGTGGTTGGGAATTCCCAGCCCGGGGAACGTGCCCAGGTGGGTGTGAGGATCTGATAAGGAAGAGATGAGCCCTGGAACATCTGCTGATGGAACTGAGAATAGGAGGAATTGAAGTATTTTTGTGTTATGGCTTCTACAAACTGCTGATCCCATAAAATTCAGGATTTATGGCTCAGGGCTTCCTAACAGGTTCCCAATGAAGGAAGGGGTTCTCTGGCAGCGTTAATTCCATAAAAACCCTGGGACTGGCCCAGACCGTGGCACTCACTATGCCAAGCTCACGGATTTGATCCCTGCAGGGGTCATTCCCTGAAGAGCTGGACTTGATGAAATCCTCGTGGGTCCCTTCCACCTCCAGAACCCAGGAATCTTGGACACAGGATCTCTTCCTAACATTCCTTTCTTCAGCCAAACACAAACTCACCGAGACCTCAACACCGCGAACCGCGCCTCCATAAGCACGCACCGATATCCTGATCACTTTTTTTTTTCTCTTTCCCAGCTTTTTCCCAGCTTTTTCCCAGCTCTTTCCCGCTGCCCCGGCACCTCCCCAGGATGTCCTACTACTACGAGCAGTGCAAGCAGCCCTGCCTGCCCCCTCCCTGCCTGCAGAAGTGCACCAAGTGCCCGGAGCCCTGCACCACCCAGTGCGTCGAGGTCTGCCAGGCCCCTTGTGCCACCCAGTGCGCCACCAGCTGCGTCACCCAGTGCGTGGAGCCCTGTGCCACCCAGTGCACCACCAGCTGCGCCCCGCAGTGCGTGGACGTCTGCGCCAAGCCCTGCTCCAGCCAGTGCGTGGAGGTCTGCGCCCCGCAGTGCGTGGACGTCTGCCCCACCCAGTGTGCCACCAGCTGTGCCCCTCAGTGCGTGGACGTTTGTGCCACCCAGTGTGACACCAGCTGCGCCCCGCAGTGCGTGGACGTCTGCCCCGCCCAGTGCCCCGCCCAGTGCCCCGAGCCCTGTGTCACCAAGTGCGTGGAGCAGTGCCAGGCCGAGGTTTGCAAAACCAAGTGCGTGGAGTCGTGTGAGACCGTGTGCCTGGAGCCCTGCTCCCGCCCCTGCTGATCCCCCCACGGGCCTGGCCCCGCGGGGCGGCTCCGGTGACCGGTGAGGAGCCGAACCCGCGGGTTCTGGATGGAAAACACGGCGCAGACCCATCGGCAACGCAACGAGGCCTCTCCTGCTCTGATCGTCCCACGTTGTCTTCGTCTTGGAAAACGTTTTGTCTCTGAGTGTTCCCTGTGTTTTCACTCCTGCACCTGCCAGCGTTTTTTCTTGGGCATTCCCGATATTTTAGCGTTGGGAATCCCAGGAAGCGCTGTCAGCATCTGGTGGTGGAAGATGTCGACGCTTTTCCCCTTCCTTTCTCCTCTTGTCTCTTCTCAGTCTTGTAAATTCTCTGTGCAGCAATAAAAAATGACCATTGATGGCACCAGCTGTCTTTTGTCTTTTTTCTCCCCATTTCCATGACTTCAGACCCCAAAATATCTTCCTGAATTTCAGTTTTCAAAAGTGGTCAGGGAGGGTTTTGTGCCTGAAGTAAAAAAAAGTTAAAATATGGAGAAATTCCTTCTAATTCAACAAGGAAATCATTGTCTGGTCAATTCTTTTCTGAGAGATACTTGAAATTATTGATAGAAATTTGATTTTCAGACAGAATTTTGGACTTCACAGCTTGGGATTTGGGAAGTAAATCCTAGAAACCATTAAAAGGCGAATTTAAGTGGAAGAAAGCCTTAAATTAATACAGGAATTGAACATCTGGAAGGCACAATTTTAAATAAATATGAATACATCTTTATTTTGGATAAGTTTGCAGCTGAGGGTGACCCCATGATCTGGAGGGAGTTAAACCCATAAAACCCCCCAGATTTCAGAGATAAATCTCCCAGGTTGTGCCTGTGGCTTTCTTCACCTCCGGTTCCATGCTGGCCACGCCATTTCCATGTCTGGGAATGCTGAAATCGCTCCCCACCTACCCCCTCATTACGGGAAGGGTGGGGAATATCTAATCTGGAGAAGAAAAGAGAGATATTTATATTCGGGGGTGTGCCGACACTGTTTCCAAATCGCCTTTTTAATGCGCAGGTGGGGAGGCGAGGAGCAGGTTCCTCTTTGTGTCCCTCGCTGTCGACACCAGGAGGTGACACCAGGAGGTGACACCCTCCGGCGGGGATCATGGGAGGCAAAAAAAAACACAGCTGGGGAAGGCAAACACCTGAGCACGCCTGAGAGGCAAAGCAGGAGCAGAAATCCCCCCCAAAAAATGGATGGGGAAGGGAGGAATCAGCACCTCGAATTCCTCCGTGGAATTTGAGGATCCAGGCTCTGCCTCAGGAGCGACTCGGAGGTGACACTTCTGTGGAATCTTGGGGGCGTGGAAAAGGTTTTAGGAATCAGGGCAAGCAACCCCACACTTGGGCCAGGAATTCCCAGGAAAATCGATGGGGAAATGAGGAATCTGCACCTCAAATTCCTCCCGAGGAACCCAAATCTTTGAGGATCCAAGCTCTGCCCTGGAGGTGCCACTTTTGTGACATCTTGGGGGCATAGAAAAGGTTTCAGTCAGGAATCATGGAAAAAAACCCAACCCCTACACCTGAACAAACCTGGACTGGATATTCCCAGGAAAACTGATGGGGAAATGAGGAATTTGTGCCTCAAATTCCTCCAGATTTTTGGGGATCCAAGATCTGAGGTGTCGCTTTTGTGTCTTCTTGGAGGCCTGGAAAAGGTTTAAACCGTGAATCATGGAAAAGGTTTAAATCAGGAATCACGTGGAGCTCCTCCCCTCTGTGATTCACCTGATTCTGGAGCATCTCCATCCCGATCCATCACCTGTGCCTGCCATTGGAATTCTTCCATTTTCCCTGGGAACAGGGATCACGGGAGCACCTGGAAAATCCTGGAGGGACCTGCTGAGCTCCCAACATTTCCTGTGGCCAAGCCCTGACGCACCAGCTGTGGTCAGCACGGGGAATTGCTGGAATTCCTGGGATATTTGCAATAATTAGGGATATTTCATCAGGCTCGAGGTGCAGGAGCCTGGAAAATCTTCCTAATTTCCTGGGGGCAAGAATAAAAAAAAGTTTCATTCCTGTTTTTTGGGGATGGGAATTGGAGAAGGGAAACAGCAAAATCCAGAACCACGGGGTTCCAAACTGAGATCTGGTCCCTTTCCCAGGAGACAGGACAGATTCCCAACCCCACTCAGATTTCTCCAGGTGCTCCCAGCCAAAATGATCCCTAAAACTCATTCCCGTGTGGATGTGATTATCCCAGCTGCTGGTTCTTTGCGGGATCTCTGCCTGGGACAGGGATGGGATGAATTATTAAGAAATTATTAATGAATTATTAACAAATCACCCCGCGATGAGCCGCGCTGGGTGTGCCCTGCGTGAAAAACACCCAGTCCCCCGCAGCCAGGAGAGGAGGGAATCTCTCCCAGACTTTGACTGAGGTCCAGGAGGTGGGAGCGGAGCCGGTTCCGGTTGTGAAAGATTCTGGTCACCGAGTTTAATCCGGAGTCATCGGCCCTTCCGCAGGGATATAAAAGCCGCTCCTTGGGGAAGCTCCACACCCGCAGCGGCTCCTCCTGAGCTCCCTCCTCGAGCAGGACGCGCCAGGTGAGTCCTTCCCTGCCCCTCTCGCTGCCCAGGTGAGGGCTCTGGTGCCCCGGGGTGGGAAAGATTGGGATTTTCCGCCGTTTTCTTCGCCAAACTGGGGTTGTCGCCCCCAAAAAATTCCGCCTGCAATGGGTGGAAAACCGTATTGTGGAATTTTGGGTGTTTTGAGGCTCCAACCAGTGGTTTGGGACTCTTTGGGTCAGAAGTCCGTGATATTTTTTGCCCAGATTGATAAGAATCCCGTGGATAACCAAAGGTTGGCATCCATGGGCAGATGGTGAACAGCTTCCCGGATTTCCGGGGATTCCGGTTCCGTTTCCTTGGATAAAATCCTCAATCCACCTGAATTTCATGGCCCCGGGTGTGGCTCCTGCTCTGGGGGGCCTCAAGGAGCTGAGGCAGAGGTGTGGTGGTTCCAAAAATTGGTATCAAATATTAGGACTGGTATCAAATATTGGGAATATTATCAAATATTAGGAATATTATCAAATATTAGGACTGGTATCCAATACTGGGATTTGTTATAAAAGGACTTTTCCCTGTCAAAACTCCCAATCCTGAGATTTTCCCAGTTTTCTGCTCCTCTTTGGCTGCTTTCCTTGGAGCTTCTCCTTGAGTTCAGCTTTCCAAAATCCACATTTTTCCCCCGAGCTTTTTAAAGTTAAGATTCCCAGGAAAAAATGAGCAGAGGGAAGGAAGGAAAACCCCTGGTGTTGTCTCCTCTCCAGCTCTGCAGCCTTTCCCTGGCTTTGTTAGGCTGGGTTTTGCCTCTGATCCTCGTTTTAGGCACAGCTATTCCCTGATCCCTCAGTGGAGCGACCAATCCCGCAGGGAACGGGATGGGATCCAAAAAAAACCCAATAAGGGGCAGGAAACAACTCCCCAAAATTCAGGCTGAACTGCAGCACCCTCAGGATTTAATCCCAGGAGCTGCCTGGCTTGGGACTGGAATTAAGTTTAAATCAGCGGGGTCGATCTCGAAGCTGAGGCAGCGCCCGTAACCTCAACACCCCAAAAAGGCGAATTTAATCCTTAAAAACGGCTCGATTCTCTCCGTGATTTTGAATTCCAGGCCCGCCCAGGATGTCCCAGCAGCAGAAGCAGCCGCAGCAGATCCCGGCCCAGTGCCAGCAGAAGTGCGGGGCCCTTCCCAAGGGGGTCCAGCAAAGCCAGGCCTCCAAAGGCCAGGCCAAGGCGGCCGTGAAGAGCCTGCCCCAGCAGCAGCAGCAGCAGCAGCAGTGCTCCAAGCAGAAGTAGGAGCCGTCCCAATTCCCAAATCCCGCTTTTCCCACCTCTCCTGGCTCCCGGGAACGCCTCCAGACCTGCAGCCACCTGCTTCGCTTGCCAGAAATTACCTCATAACGAGATGCGCTTAATTAGGTTTAGAAAATGATAAATGAACGGCGGGGCTGGTTTTAATTCCGAGTTTGATTTGGGATGTGGTGCAATAAAATGATGGAATTACCTCGTGGTTGCTCCCTGGTTTTTTTGTTGGTGCTTTTCTCCTGTTTTCCCTTCTCTTTCTCTTTTTTTCCCCCTAAAATATCAACTTTAAGCACACCAAAACCCTGGCTTTTGCAAGCTGAGCCTCCTCTGCATCTTTTTCAGGAGAAGCCGTTGAAAATCCCCAAAACTTGATTAAAAAATCCCCAAAACTTGATATTAAAAAAATCCCACAAGTTGGTACAAAAATTCCCAAAACTTGGTATAAAAATTCCCACAATTTGATTTGAAAAATCCCCAAAACTTTATAGAAACCCCCCCAAAACTCAGTGTAAAAATTCCAAAAACTTGATTTTAAAAATCCCCAAAACTTGGTACAAAACCCCCCAAAACTTGGTACAAAAATCCCCAAAATTTGGTACAAAATTCCCCACAACCTAGTATAAAACCCCCCACGACCAGTAACAAAAATTCCCAAAACTCGGTACTCAAAGTCGCTTTTATTGTGGAATTTTCACAGTGAAATAAATCCTGGATCCAACAGCAGCCGAAAACAATCACGAGACAAAGTCCCAAACACCGACGGGTGGCGAAACATTCCCGGCTGGAATTCCTCCTTTATCCCGTCTGCGCCACGCCCGGGGTTAATCCCTTCCCAAACATGTCTGGAGTGGAGTTAATTATCCATAAATTTGGGTAATTATGGAATATTCACGGCCTGAGCTGCTCTTTGACACCTCCGAGGAAATTTAAGGGGAGAGGGAGCTTGGATTCATCCTAAAATTCTTCCTTTTCCCCCCCCCAATCCCAAAGGATTCTTTTAAATTCCACCAAAGTCGGATCTATCCTAAATATCTTCATTTTTCTCCCTCAGTCCCGAAGGATTATTTTTGCATTCCACCAAAAAATTCAGCACTAATTCCCGATTTGGGAAGTTTTGAGCGTTTTTGGCGGCAGATTCCGCACAAAATCTGATTGTTTATAGGGGAAAAACTTCCCAAATTCCAGGTGGGAGCTGGAATCCAGGGGGAAAAGGCAGGAAAAAGGGGATGAGCTCTTCCCTGGATTTGGGGCTTTCTTTAAACTTCACGATCCCCGCCTTGCTCCATGATTTTTTTGGGGGGGTTTTTTGGGCATTCCAAAGCCGCGGGATTGGGAAAAAGGGCAGGAATTTGGGAAGGGGAGCTACAACCCTGCTGGAAAGCATTCCCGACAGGAATTCCCTGCTGTTAGTAAAGGACAAGGCGTTAGCGGGAGGGGCGGCTGGAAGGAATTCCTGACAAAAGCTCTGCAGGGGTTTAAAAAAGAAAAACAAACCAACAACAACAAAAGGCTTGGAAAAACCTCTGGATTCGGGGAGAAAATCCCCGGGATCGGGATTTTCCCTCTATTTCTGCCACGGGCCGGGCTGCTCCAGCTGCTGCTCCAGGGGAGGGAATTTCTCGGGAAGGGAGCGCTGCTCCGGGGTGGGCACCGGGATCTCCTGGAATTCCTGCTTTTCCTGGGAACACGGGGCGGGCACCGGGGTCTCCTGGAGTTCCTGCTTTTCCTGGGAACACGGGGCGGGCTCTGGGACTGGGATGGGGACAGGGGTGTCCTTGCATTCCTGTTTTTCCGGGATGGACACCGGGATTTCCTTGCGTTCCTGTTTTTCCGGGATGGACACTGGGATTTCCTGGCATTCCTGTTTTTCCTGGGCACATGGAGTGGGCTCAGGGATGGAAACTGGGATGGGGACAGGGGCGTCCTTGCATTCCTGCTTTTCTGGGATGGACACCGGGATTTCCTTGCATTCCTGCTTTTCCTGGGCACACGGGACAGGGTCAGGGGTGGAAACTGGGATTTCCTGGCACTGCTGCTTCTCCTGGGAGCACGGAACAGGGTCAGGGTGTGGATCAGGGATGGACACCGGGATTTCCTTGCATTCCTGCTTTTCTGGGATGGACACCGGGATTTCCTTGCATTCCTGCTTTTCTGGGATGGACACCGGGATTTCCTGGGTGGAAACTGGGATTTCCTGGCACTGCTGCTTCTCCTGGGAGCACGGAACAGGGTCAGGGTGTGGATCAGGGATGGACACCGGGATTTCCTTGCATTCCTGCTTTTCTGGGATGGACACCGGGATTTCCTGGACCTGCTGCTTCTCCTGGGCGCACACAGCAGCCTCGGAGCAGGGAACGGGAACGGGAACCGGGATCTCCTTGGCCTCCTGCTTTTCCAGCGTCGGTTCCGGGCAGGATTTCTCTTCCAGGCGCGGAGCAGGCTCGGGGTTCGGGAATGCCGGAGGGAATTGGGTTTGCTGCTCCTGGGGCGGGCCCTGGGGCACCGCAGCCCCCGCAGCTTCCCCTTTTCCCGGTTCTGGGATTTGGGGATGCTCCGGGCTCTGTTTTGCGGTGGTTTTACCCAAGCCGGGGGGGAGCTGCAGCTCCTGCTTGATCTGCATCTGGTTCAGAGACATCTCTGCGGGAAAACGGGATCACCTGGAAAAAAAGGTGGGGATTTCTCCTGTTACCGCGACGAGGGTGACACAATTCTGAAAAACGCGTTTAAAATTTTAAAAAGCCGAGTTTTCCTGCTCTGCCCTTGGCTTCCCGAGGCTAAAACCAAACATTTAATGAGGTTTGGTGTGCCAGAAAAAAAATAATATAAATGTAGGGGCAACGGGGTGTTTTGGACTGGTAAACCTGAAATAATTCCAGATATTTGCCCCTGGATTTTCAGCTTTTCCTTGGAATTTGGAACGCCAGGGGAGGTTTCTCGAGGCTCCGGCGAGCTGAGGGTTAAATTCCCAGGAGGCAGCTCCTCCTCTCGCTCCGGTCTCACCCGGCTCCGGTGACAATGCCGAGGGTTTGGGTGACCCTGGAAGGGTTCTTGGAAGGGAATTCTCAGGGATAAAGCGTCCCCGAGGTCCGGGATTGTCACCGCCGTTCCCTCCTGAGTCAGAGCGGGCAGCGAGGATTTCTCCTCCCCGACAATTTGGGGACAATTTTGTGGCCGCTGAAGGCTCGCCCGGACCTCGGGAATTCCTGCGCTGCCGCTTTTTAAAATCCAAAGCCAGGAGTGAAAGGTGAGAATTCCAAAAGCGGGGTTGGAAGGGATTTGAACTCCCCAAGGCAGAGAGAGGGGAAATTCCTCCCTTCTCCGGGGGGTTCCCAGCTCCTCTCACAGCCAATCCCCTCCTCTCTATCCTTTTTTTTTTTTTTTTAACATCTGATAAGACCTTAATTAATTAATTAATTAATTAAGATCTTGTTCCTGACATGGATGAGGCAGCACATGGGGCATATTTTCACTTCTTGTCTCCCTGCAGCGCCCTCGTGCTCCCAAATTTGCCTCTTTCCAAGGAATTCCTGGGTGAAATGGAAGTTTTAAAAACCTTTTGGTTATAAAATCAAAGGAAAATCAATTTGGCAGGAGAGGGTTTGGTGTCCTTCCCTGGAGGGAGGAGATTGGCCCTTGAACCAACGGAATTCCATCTGATCCACGCCTCAGGAAGGGTCTAATTTAGGGCTTAATTACCCTCAGATTTAGGCTTGGTCTTAATTTGCCTTCCAGTGCCATTTCCAGGCTGCCCCAATGCCCACAAATTCTCTCCTTTCCAGGAACCCTCCGCGTATCCCAAAGCACCAAATCCAAACTTTCCTGCATGGCTGAACTCCAAATATCCCCCCAAAAAATCAGGATTATCAATCCCAAATATTCCCCCAAAATATCGGGATTCTCAATCCCAGACATCCCCCAAAAATATTGGGATTCTCAATCCCAAACATCCCCCAGAATATCGGGATTCTCAATCCCAAATATCCCTCCAAAATCTCAGAATTCTGAATCCCAAACCTCCCCAAGGAACCTCGGGATTCCCAATCCCAAATCTCCCTGAGGAACCTCGGGATTCCCAATCCCAAAGCTCCCTGAGGAACCTTGGGATTGCAGGACTCACCCAGCCGGTGCCGAGGGAGCAGCGGGAGCGGAGTGGATGCTGGAGTGGGGAGATTTGGGATCTTTTATAGGGTTTGGAAGCCCTGCCTTCTGGGAATGAGTCCTCCTGGCTGATGAGCTCATTCTTTCACAAGAACCTTGCCCGGCCGGGTTTTACACGTAGGCACTTTCAGAGAGGATTCTGAGTTCGTTCCCCTGACTAATCCCGCTGAACCGTGGAATTTCTCCCTGGATAAAGGTCAGAGCCTTGGGTTCATGGAGTTATTGGAGACCCCGTTGAGGTTTGGGGGCTTGGAGGGGTTTGGTGCCACCTCAACCCATCCAGGGGTCATTCCATAGCTAAAACCCCCTCTGATGTCTGAAATTCCTGGGATTTATTGGGAATTCCCACCTCAACCCATCCAGGGGTCATCCCACAGCTAAACCTCCCCTTTTTTGGGTTTTCCTTGGGAAGAACTTAGTGGACTTCCCTCAACTTTCATTTCAGTTTGGAATCACCAGGAGGCATTTCCTGGAAATTCCAGGAATTTCCTCCTGGAAAGAGCGGTCAGGGGCTGCCCAGTGAGATCTGGAGTTGCCACCCCTCGAGGTGGCCAAGGAATTCCTGGAAAGGGGTTGATCCATCTAAAGATGGACTCAGGGATCTTGGAGGGCTTTTCCAACCTCAATAATCCTGGAATTTTCTGGATAAATCGCATTTTCCATGGAGTTGCAGCTCTCACCCATCTAAATGCGATGGAGCAGGGAGCTGAGCTTATCTCCAGGGATTTTTAACAATATCCAAGATTTTTCCCACCCAAATGGAATTTGGGGAACCGGCCCCACAGAATTCCAGAAGGGAATTAAAAAAGGTGGTTAGGCCTAGATGTGAAAGAAAGGGAACTCTGTGCATTCCCTGAGGATTAGTCCAAGTGGAACGAAAACCAGACATTTATGGAGTCGAGAAACCCCCTGAAATCCAATCCCGATCCCCCAAATCTCCGGGATCCATCAGGACACGGCTCCTGGAGACACCGTGTCCCACCCAGATGGGAATTTCATCACCTTTGGTCATCCCAGGCCTCTCCCGGGCTCATCTCCGCGGCTTTTCCGGAGCTTTTATCGGATCAAGATCCCGTTGCGATCACTTCCAACAGGCTGAGCTGGTCTCACGTCACCTCCCGGAATTCCTGGGCAGCACCTGGAAGCAGCTGCTCCCGGCATGGAGCAACTTCCTCCCTCAACAACCCTTCGGCAGCACAAGGCCGAGAAATTCCGGAATTTTCTCCCGTCTGTAAAATTCCCGTTTTCCCCCGGGTCCTGCCTTGCTGTTCCCTCTGGGATAGGCTCAGTTTTAGTCTCCAGCTTTGGGAATACCCCAGCCCAAGCCCAAAGCCTGACTCAGGCCTTGCTGCTGCTCCGCTGGTGCCGATTCCAGGCTGGAATTAGGGCACTTCCCAGACCTGCCTGGCTGCTTTCGAGGCAGCCTGGTGGCTGGCAGGGCTTGGAACCGAGATAAGCTCCTGGAATTGTGCCCTTCCCACGGGGAGATGCAGGGAAGGAGATCAGAGTCCTTAAAACCTTGGGGCTCGGCACTGCCCTGTTCCTGGAGGTGTCCGAGGAAAGGTTGGATGGGGCTTGGAGAGACCTGGGACAGTGGGAATTGTCCCTGGCCACGGCAGGGGCTTGGAACGGGATGATCCTGAAGGTCCTTTCCAACCCAAACCATTCCATGATACTCTGATTTTCTGGGATTCTCTGATTTTATTATTCCATGAGTTTATGCTTGTTATTCTGCAACTCCATGATTTTCTGATTGTCTGACTCCGTTATTCCGTGATTTTGTGATTCTGTGATCCTCTAATTCCATCATTTTGTGATTTTATGATTCCATTATCCTCTGATTCCATGATTTTCTGATTTCATGATTCCATGATTCTCTAACTCCACGATTTTATGATCCTCTGATACTCCATGATTCCCTTATTCTATTATTCCATGATTTCATCATTCCCTGGTCCTGGTTTTTGCCCTGCCGAGGCTGGAGCAGACGAGTTTGAGAGCGGACAGGGAATTTCACCACCTCCAACCTTCCACCCGAATTTTTGTGCAATATTCCCGAGGGAATTCTCCTCCTCAGGTCGGAGCTCGGTGCTGTCCATCCCTCAGAGCCCTGGACACCTCCACCTGCTCGGGACATTTTTATTTAAGCAACAAATAAAGAATTTCTGGAACATTTCGGTGCCAAATTTAAACCCAGAACTTGCGACGCCCAGGGATTAAAGTCAAACACTTCCCATGGCTGGGAGGGAGAGACCTAAACCTAAATCTAATCCTAAACCTAATCCTAAACCCTGTCTGGAGATGAAGAGATGTGGCCTGACCTTAAACTGGTTTGGATCCAGTCTGGAAATGCTCCGGAGGTCACCGGGCAGCAACCTCAGCACAAAAATCATGGATATTGCCCAAAGAGGCTCCGGAGTCAGCCCCTGGAAAGGGAGGGAATGTTTTTCCCTGAGGAGAGATGGAATTGCTTTTCCCATCCCCGGGAATTGCACAAAAATCTATTTTTAGCCAAACCTTTGGGAAAAGGACGGGAGAAACGTGATGGAATGGAGGGAACGTGGGGCCACAAATTCCAGGGATCGCGACACCGCGGGGAAGGAAATTCCCAGCCTGGCATTCCCGGGTGGGAATTGCTGCACCAGATCCCAGAAATCCCAAATTTATCAGGGACCTCCCAGGTGCCGAGCAGGGAATTCCAAGGAGTTATTCCAGGAGATCCAAACGGGAGCTGGCGGCTCCATCTGGGATGTCCCGTGTCTCCAAGGGTCCCAGAGCTCCTTTGCTTCACTCTGCCAAAAAAATGGATCCGAATTTTGGGAAGTGAGGACCTCACCCAGCGCTCCATGGATGCTCCTTGACCTTTTTGGCCACCTCAGATTTGGGGATTTTCATGCAATTCCCAGATTTTTTTGGGAAGTAAGAACCCCTCAGTCAGGACTCTGGGGATGCTCCTTGACCTTTTTTTCCATTCAGGATTTGGGGAAAGGATCAGATTCTTTTGGGAACTGAGGAGCTCTCCCTCAGGACTCCACAGACCTGGAATCACAGATTTTTGCAGGATTTGGGGACTTCAGTTTAGGGATCAGATTTATTTTTTGGGCAGCGAGGATCCTTCTCTCCTGATTTCATGGATTCTCCCTGATTTTCTCCCCAGGATTAAGGACCTTTGTGCACAGAGGGGAGGATCCTTGGGAACTTTTGCCCCGCCGGATTTCAGCCGTGACTCAGGAGCTGCCGAACCGGCCCGGCCTGGCCCGGGGCTCTCGGAGGGTTCGGCTCCGCCCATGTCGTTGTTGTGTCCAGCTCCGGGCTGGACATCGCGGTGAACTCATCAAACAAAGGCTTAATTAGCACCTGCTGGATGGCTTAATTAGCACCTGCAGCATCTGCCGGTATCGGTCTGGAGCCTGGAGCAGCTCCTGTCCCAAACTCCCGGGACCTTTGTGGCTTCCCTGGAAGTGTCCAAGGCCAGGC